GCAGGCCCTGCCCTCATGCACGGACACACACACACACACACACACACACACACAGAGCTGAGGCCGGCCCAGGGGCTGGGCCAGCAGCACAGGCCCTGAAAACAGATGTCTGTAGCTTCTGAACGCGTGTGTTTGGAACTGGCACTGGTGCAGGCTTAGGGACGTGACCAACTTCAGGCTTCCCACCACCCCCCCCTGGCCCCATGTGAGCCGGGCCCAGGGAGCAGCCTGAGTCCCAGTGGGAAGCGCCTCCGCCCCCGAAGGAGGTGGCCAGCCTCGGTCTGGCCCTAGCTTGGCTGGCCCAGCCCTGGGCACGCGGTCCCCAGGGCTGTGGGTGGACAGGTCCCCCAGCCCAGGCAGGCCCAGCCAGCCCAGGCCGAACCGGCCCGGCTTCCCGTCCCCCGCGGCCGTCCCCATTGGTCAGCCCAATCCAGCCTCGCGCCCCCCCCCCCCAGCCTCCCACCCAGGCCTCCTCTCTGCCGCCGAGGGCTTGGCACCCGGCACCCGTGCGGGGTGAACCAGGGCTGTCTCCACCGACCTGGCTAGGCCCTGGCCTGGTCGCAGGGCTGGCGGAGCAGGCCCCAGCTCCTGGCCGGGAGTCGGGGCTCTCCCGTTCTCTGGCGCCTGTGGGGTCTGTGGGAACCTGGCCCAGCCAGGCAGAGAGCCGCGCCCCGCAGGGCCAGGCTCCCCAGGCGCGGGCTCTTCGCTGGTAGCAGAGGCCGGGAGGAAGCATCCTAGACTGTCCTAGACCGAGACCCGGAGTGGTCGCAGGTTTTCTCCAAAGGTCACCCGCAGGGGTGGCGGAGGAGTCCGGCATGGCCTGGCTTCCCGGAATCCATTCCCCAAGAGCATTAACTAATTACCAGATCAGAGAAACGAAAAAGCAAATATTTCTTAAAATAACCCAAGGTAATTATAACCCCGTTGTTGACACGAAGGATTAATAATTGATCAGGCATTGCAAACAATAAATTGTCAATTTATCTCCACAGGCCGGGCTTGGGTAGCTCCCGGTTCTTGACCCCCTGGGCACTTCTGGGAGGACCTGGGGTAGAGGCAGCCCGCCCTCCCGCTGCTCCTTCCTGCTCCTTCAGAACCGTAGACTGAACTTGTTTTCTGTCCCACAAGGAACAACCTGGAAACAGGCTTAAGTTTCCCCCTGTTCTCTGGGCCAGATTTAAACAAACACAAAACATTCTTCCTCCTTCCCTTCTACCTGGGATTGAAAAAGAACGTGCCAGCGGACATTTCACAACCCCTTCTCCCGGTACTATCAGTATAGCAAATGGAACATCTTCCATTTTCATCTTTCTTAGAAAGATCAGTTGGTCCCAGCTGTGGGGAGCCCGTGGGGTGGGAGGGGACAACGAAATCAAGGGCAGGCGGGAGGGTGCTGGAGCCCTGAAGGGGCCCAAGGGGCCGTGGCTGAGACCCAAATAAACGCCTGCTGACTGGCAGGTCTTCAAGGCTCTGGTCAGAGTGAAGGGTGTGTGTGTGTGTGTGTGTGTGTGTGTTGGGGAGGGGGCTGATTGAGGTTTCGGAGGTGATTGCGGCTTCTCATTAAGAGCAATAAAAAGTAGCTTTCACCAAGTGGAAAATAATATTGTCATAGATTACTTCTTCTGGAAATAAGCCTTTAAAACATCTGTAGGGATTTGTCACTTGCATAAAGGTTTGAAAATACATCAAAGGGACACATCCTCTTGTGATTTGTAGGAATTCAAGTGATCTTAATCATAATGGCCACATATCACAGACTTTGTGTATTGTTCCCAAAATAGCCTCTTGGGTTAACACATTTAAAAAAATATTTAAAATGCCTGCCGTTTGGGGGGAAATGATTTAAAACATATTTAACCGATCTATTTATGACTTTAGTTTGGGTTTAGATAAATGTTTTCCTTTGGGATTTTCCAATGTTCTGGGGTAACTACAAAAATTCTATGCTGAGCATCATATAGTTACTTGAGGGAAAGTTTCTGCTGGGCAACGCTACTTAAATTTAAAATGCCTTGTCTCTGACCAGGTCATAAATTGGTTTGGAATGATTTGTTTTTTCCCCCTCCGAACTGATGTCTGTTTTCACCGTTCTCTAACAACAGTATTTAGTGTAGAATTATTCTGGAACATTGTTTCTTCCGGGTAGGTGTTACTTTTAGCCTCTTTCATAAATAATGCGACTGTGTGACCCTAAGGCGCAGCTGGAACCCAGTCTGTCTCCTGAGCTCCTGGCGGCGCCTCGGCCCAGCTCCGCATGCCCCCAGCCCGGGCCCCAGCGCCGGGCCGCGCCGCGCTCCCGGCCCCCGGCTCGGGGAGGGCAGGCGCAGTGCGGCCGGGCGCTGCCCCCGCAGCCCCCGAGCGCGGGGGGCTCCGCGCCTCTCCCGCCTCGCACCAGACAAAGGTGGACCAAGTTCTTTTCAAGTTTCCGCGGCAGTTGCTGGGCAGCCTGGCAGAAACAATAACTCTGTTATTCGGAACAAATGTTGACATTGGACGGCGCGGGGGCCAGGCGAACGCGCCCCTGCCCGCGCCCACCCGCGGCCTGCGGCCCACCTGAGGTTAACGCGATCAACAGGAGGGCGGGGGTCTGTCCCCACCCGACAGACCGACGGACCAACAGACTCTGGGCCCAGCAGCAGCAGGGCGCGATCGCAGGGAACCCGAACCCCGAGCCCCGAACCCCGAACCCCGAGGGTCCTCTTCCTCTGCCTCCCAATCTCAGCAACTGCAAAGTCCCTGAGCCGCCGACAGAAAGGTTTCCCCTCTCCTTCCCTCTCCCTCCCCTCCTTTCCCCCCTCTCCTTTTTCTCTCCCTCCTTCTCCCCCCTCTCCTTTTTCTCCCTCTTCCTCCCCTCCTATTTCTTAATGACCTGCATGGAGAAAAGCTCAAACACTGTATTTCGTTGTAAACGATCCCTTTAAGCACCTGCAGGTTTTCTGTTGGTAGTGAATATTTAAAAACCAGGTTTCCAGAAAGGAAGAAATTCAGGTCAGGAGGTGGGTGGGTAAGTTAGGAAATCGTTGATAATTTGTTAGGCGTATAAACATCAAAGAAGCTTCATTAGCCTGGGCTAATCTCCTTGAGCTGCTTTGGGTCGACCAGGGGGTCCGGGGAAGGGGGCAGGCGGCTGCAAACAGGGACAGGGCCCAGGAGGGGGTCACACCTCCGCCACCCCCTGCCCAGCCCCACCATCAGCCAGGCTTCCTTTTCTGGACGAGATCACTCAGAGACCCAGCAGAGCCTGGATTTTCTGCCCACGAGCCAGACTTTCGCCTTCAAGGCTGTATCTTCATTAGGGTAGATCTGTCCGTGAACGCTAACTTCCGTACTTTTCATTCAAGTTCTCAAATACTGTAGCTAGTACGTTACTGAGATGTTGCTGCCCAGTGCATTTTATCTCCTGCTAGCATGGGGGGGGAATTATGATTAATAGTAGAGCAAACTTCGTGAATACCTTCATATTGTAATGTAAAAACTACTTCTGGGAAAGGAAAAAAAAATCATCTTTGTGAAAATCCTACGAAGTTTGTTCACCAGAAACTAAAAGAACATCCAAGCTCACTGTGCCCCTCCACCCCCCACCCCACTTGTGGTGGGGAGGCCCCCAACTCCATGGAAAATCTTCACTATTGTCTACAGACAGCTCGGCTCCAAACAGTTCCACTGCCATTCCACCCCAGCAACTTACTTTCCATTTAACCTTCAATGTGCACATATTTAAAACAAAATCACAAGTACTACCAGGAAAATCCCCAACAGCAGTCTGCCTCTTCTTTCCACAGACACCCCCACAGCCGACCCTCCACAGGGGCAGCCTGTCCATTTAAGAGTCCCCTGGCTTTGCTTCAAGTAGCTAAGATTACGTTCAAATACCCTTTCTAAGGAGACCCCAGCAAGAAGCCACATATTTCTATGACACAAAAAGGCACCAGAGAGATCTGTTTGTCAATATCAACTGGTCCAGCAATTTCCCATCCTCAGACACATCAGCCTATCCGAGTGGCAGATGTTTAGACAAGATTTTATAAATCGTTCAATCGCAGCCCATAATGAACCCCAACTGACCATTCCAAGGCAGCTCGCGCTGGAGACCAGCCCCCTGCCGGGACTCAGTAATGCTTTCCTGGCACCGAGTTATTAATCACGCAGTAAAAGAGGAGAACCTCTTGAAAAATAAGTGTATGATTGATTAAAGGGCACTCTAAGAAGCCATTATTCTTGTTTTATAACCCTAAGTTATATTCACTCAATTTATCTTTGGAGAGGAAATAAATGATTGTTCATTTCTTTCCTGAAATTATATTATATGGATGCCCACATAATTCCTCGGAAGGCTGAAGTGACAGGGGCTGGGTTACTTGGCTGCAGATTTTAGACTTGTCCTATAATTAGGAAGGGAGGAGATAATAAAGAGACAATCGGCCAGGGCTGCTTAAACTTTTCTTTCCCCGAGGGCTAAGCGAAGGTAATTGCAACGGAGAAGAATCTCCCCCACCCCATGTACTTACAGGGGCTGTGTAAAAGAGACTGATCTACACCAATTTAGATAATTTGGGCCTCTGAAGACAATTATTTCCATCAGTAACTTCTTGTGAGGAGTTTAACTCCCTGTTATCAATACTATTGTGCTTTTCCATCTAGTTTGCTGAGGACAGTCAATGAGCCAGCATCACAAAATAAATATAAAATACATAGGGGTGTCATATCATTTTATTTTTTCCACGTTTTAGAAATTTACACTAGCATGGAATTTGCATATTCAGAGCACATAATTCTTTGCTATGTTCTTGTAATACGTTTATATATAAATAATCTAGAACCAATTCAATCTTCCCACTGTGTATTTCTCCCCCATCTGCTTTTCTCTGAGAGCATAAAGGAGAGAGGACTTCACAGGGTCAGCTTTTCATTAAACAGGTGAACTCATTACCGGGAGGCTACCGTCCCCAGGGCTCCGGACCCACATCATTCAGGAATAAAGAGCCCGGAACACCTGAGGATTGTAATCTAGTCTGTTTTTATTTACAATTTAAGATATAAATTAGTAAAGAATTCATGTTAAACAACCAACAAAGATTGTATAACCAGCAATGGTCAAATAAAAACCAGGCAGAATTTATTTACAAAAAGTTTAGATCGCATTGCAATAGAACTTGCATAAATTACTAGAAGCTCTATATCATTATAAAAATAAATATCAAATTTGTTTCCACGCCTGAAGTACTCAAGTTCTTCAATCACGTTTTATTTCTACTGTGTACATCTTTTACAAATAATTTTTTTACAGTAAATCCTATCACACCTATAGACTATAGACCGTGGCTGTGAAGTGATCAAGATATCCTGAGAGAAAACAGATTGTTTCCAAAAGTCACACAAACATCAGGGAAGCTACACTACGCCAACAGGTTCACGGCTGTCACCAGCACTGTGTCCAGTCCGTCAGAGTCTGAGGGTTGACAGTGCCGAACCGGTCCTTCTCTTTTACAGTGGCACAGATGTGGTCCGGATTTAGAGATCTGCCTTATATATATATAGATATAGATAGATCGATATAATATATTTATATATATATATATATATATCTTTGCATTTATGAGCTTAGGAAGACAGAATGGCCTCCTGACTTTGATTTTCCAAAGCAATTGTGACACCTACCTGTGGACCAAGGAAAAGACCAAATCATTGTAAATCCTTCATTTCTACACCAATGCCCACCAGGTTAAAAAAAAAAAAAGCCAAAACCAAAAGAAAACCCGAATGGATCTCAAATGGTTCTACCTCTTTACCATCTCTGATCTGGGGTTAATAGTGGAACAAGTTATTTTTTAAAAATTTTTTAATTGAAATTAGTTGATTACATAAATTTCACATATTTCACACTATTGTGGAATAGTGATGCTTAAAGTCACAAACACATTTTAACCTTCACAAGGCAAATTGTCATTATCATGGTCTATAAAGCTTGTGAATTCTATGAGGTCTGGGGACAGAGTTTTTAATGTACTGCTGTCCAGGCTTCTGCAAGCCCATTTGGACAGTGGGGGGGGGGGGGGGGGAAGAAGAGGACAGGCCCAGGAGACTCTGAAAGCAATACACAAAAAGGATTTCCACATCCAAGTTTTCTATAGCTCACTCATCAAGCCAAGTTTCTCGTGTGTGTTTAGCAGCGAAAAAACCATTCCAAGTAACAAATGAATGCCACATTTTAATCATCTATTTTCCCAAAGAGCGCTAGTGACATATATACACATACATGTATATGTCACAAATGTATCACACACACACATACAGTCTATAGCACATAACAGATCTTCCCCAGAGGCCTGAGGCACAAGCCAACCAGCTGCGCGGCACACCAGGGCGGCGCACCGCGGAGCACAGATGCCCACTTACTTGCACTGCTGAGCTGGGTCATTCTATAGGTAGGGCTGGACGCCCGCGCCAACCACCGCACAGCCCTCGCTGGTCTCTGTCGGGGAAGGGGCAGTGAGTGAGATCGGGCCGCGACCCGGCCGCCCAGCTCCCAGGCGCGGGACACACAGGGTCACCGCTGCCACGGACGGGAGAGGCACTCTGGGTTATGATCCCAGGCTCTCTCACTTTGGGCTTCCAGTCACCTGACTGTCCCCCGAATTAGGAGCCTTGGAGGCCAATAACGAACGGGGGGAGGGGGAAAGCTTTCATTTTCTCCGCTGAAGCGTAGCGGAGGGAGTGCTTTCCCGCTGCCGGGGCACAGGAGGGGACCCGGGCCTGGGCTCGCGCACCGCCACCCGGAGGGACACAGGCTCTGGTTTGTCTTTGGTGGCGATGTGCCAACACCACAGAGTCACGATGACGTTCTTAACACTAAATTAACTAACGAGTAAATAATAACAGGGTAGGCCTAGGGGCGGGCCGCCTCGCGGCCGGCGGTCTGCCCTCTGCAGTCCCCTCCCCGACTGCGGTCTGCTCACCCCCGGCTGCCCGGCTTCTCGGTACCCGCCCCCCCCCCCCGCCCAGGCTTTCAGGGGGGCTCTGGCGACGTGGTGAGTACCCCGCGGGGCCCGCACTGCCTACCTTTCTTGGGCTCGTAGCCGCCGCCCGGGGGCCGGTAGTGCGGCTCCAGCGCGTGCGCCCCGGCCTTGCCCGCGTCGCCGGCCGCCTTGGGCGCGGCGTGGCCCGCGTCGCCGGCCGCCGCGGCCGCCGCGTTGTAGCGCAGCAGCCCCGGGCCCTGCAGCGCGGCGTTCAAGTTCCCGTAGTTCGTGTAGTTGCCGTAGAAGGGCGGCGTGTAGTAGAGGGGGCGCCCGAGCAGCGGCGAGGCGGGGTAGGCCGAGCCCCCCGGGGCCGCCCCCGCCGGGGCCGGCGCGGCGGCGGCCGGCAGCCCGCAGCCGGGGCCGGCGCTGGGATGCTTGAGGTCCGACGTGGCGATCTCCGCCAGCGACCACAGCTTGGGCTTGCTGGCGGGCGGCGGCGCGCCCGGCGACGTCCGGCTGCCCGGGGGCGCCTTGCCCCGGGGCGCGGCCTCGGGCCGGGGACTCAGCAGCGGCGCCTCCAGGCCGGTGAGCGGGGAGGCGGTGGCGGGCTTGGGCGGCGCCAGGTCCCGCTCGCAGTCCTCGTCATCGTCCTCGTCGTCCTCCAGGTCGTCGAACTTGTCCTTGCACTCGGAGCCGGACTCGCACAACGGGTCCCCGGCGCGGCACGACAGCTTCTCCCCGTCCGACTCGGCGGCAGAGCACGAGTGGTCCGTGAGCGAGTCCACGTGGAGGCTGATGCCTGCGGGCGCGAGCGGGGAGCTGTGGCCGCGCGCCCGCAGCCTCCGCCTCCCGTCTCCACCCCTGGCCCTGGGATCGGGGTCCGCGCGGACCCGGGCCGGGCGGCGAGCTCGGGCCTCCATCCCGCCCGCCCCGTGCCCGCCTGGGGAGAAAGGGCCAGACCCGGCCGCCCCGCCGCGGCTCACCTTCGTCCTCGGCCGAGGTCTCCGCGCCCTCCTGCGCTTTGCCCGGGCTGCCCTTGCCCCGGGCGGCGTCTCCCTCGTCCTCGTCCTCGTCCTCGCTTTTGTTCCTCGGGGCCCAAGTCATCTTGTTCTCCTTCTTGAGGCGCCGGCGCGCGTTGGCGAACCAGGTGGAGACCTGCGTGAGGGTCATCTTGGTGATGATGGCCAGCATGATCTTCTCGCCCTTGGTGGGGTAGGGGTTCTTGCGGTGCTCCTGCAGCCAGGCCTTCAGCGTGGCCGTGGCGTCGCGCGTGGCGTTCTTGCGGTAGGCCGGGTCGTTGAGCTGGTACGGGTAGGCCGCGCTGCCGTATGGGTGGTAGCCGAGGGCGCCGGTCACGCCGGTCGTGTGCGTGTCGTAGGGCGCACTCTGGATGGGGACAGCACGAATCTGTGAGAAGCCCGCCCGGGGGCCGGGCGCCCCTCCCCGAGCCTCCCCGCCGCCTGCCCCGGCCGGCCGTTCCTCACGCGGGCCTCCCGCCACGGGAGACCAGGCCGGCCAGGGCGGGGCGCGGGCGTCCCGCAGCTCCCTCCGAATTCGAAAGCCGCCCCGCTTCTCCCGAACGACCCCTGTCCCCCAGCTGTTTTGCGGGGCGAGCGCCGGCCGGGGCCCGCACCCCGCCCGCGCCGCCGCCGCGCCCGCCAAGGCAGATCCGCCACTTGAGGCCCACCGCCGGCTCTGCGTCTCCAAGCGCGCGGCAATTACCATTCAGATTCGCCCGTTAGGGTTTAAATTCCAGGCGGCGGCAGCCCCGGCCGGGCGGCTACGTCCCGGCCCCGAAATCCCGCAGAGGGCCCGGCCCCGCCGCGGAGCCCGGGAGCACAGGGCCGGTCCGCCTCCCGCGGCTCGGGCGGACCCCGAGCCCACCACGCTTTCCGAAAACCCAGTCTGCGAGCCAGGCCAGGACCCGGGCTGGGCAGCCGCCCTGGGCACGCGCCCTCTCCCCGCTCAGAGACCCGCCGTCCCGGGCCCAGCAAGCCGCCGGGAGGCCCAGGCACCGCCGACTCTCGCGCCACGCACCGCTCCGGAGCCGGCGGCAGCCAGCACGTGGGAGTCCCGCATGGCTCGCGACTTCACACGGCCCCGGCGTCCGCCCACCTCGGGATCACCCTGGGAGCGGGGAGGAAAGCGCGCGCGGGCCGCTTGTCCTGCCCGTTCCCGGTGCCCGGCTCCCGGACCCTCGGCCCCGCGCGCCCCCCGGGCCCGCGTTCCCCCTCCCCGCCGCTCTCCGATCCCGGTCCTCGGACCCGCGCCCCCCCCCCCCCGCGCCCCGATCGCCGCCTCCGAGCCCGCGCCCCCCGCGCCCCGATCGCCGCCTCCGAGCCCGCGCCCCCCGCGCCCCGATCGCCGCCCGCGGGCCCGCGCCCCCCGCGCCCCGATCGCCGCCCGCGGGCCCGCGCCCCGATCGCCGCCCCCGGGCCTGCGACCCCCGCGCCCCGATCGCCGCCCCCGGGCCCGCGCGTTTACCATGTAAGATGGGAAGCCGGCGGCGGCGGCGGCGGCGGCGTCGGCCGAGTACTGCAGCGGGCTGCCAAAGCCGGTGGCCGCCTGCGCCGTGAAGGCCGCCGAGCCCGGGTAGGGGCTGAACGCCGAGCCCGACGCCGAGCGCGCCAGCTCCTCGCTGCGGGGCGCCGCCAGCGCAGAGGCGCCGTACGCGGGGCACGAGTAGAGCGCCAGCGAGCCGGGCGCCTGGTACAGGTAGCCCTGCGGGTAGGACATGGTGGGCGCGGGGCGCGCGGCCCGCGTCACGCCGAGCAGCGGGCAGGGCGCGCGGCACCCTCCATCCACGCCCGGCCCGGGCGCGGCGCGGCGCGGCGGCGGACCCCGGGGCCGCGGGCCGGCGACGGGCTGGCCTGGGCGCTAGCCGAAGGGGCCCGCGGGCCGGGGCCGGGGGAGAGGCCGGGCGGCGGCGGCGGCGGCGCGGAGCCGTTGGGCGCAGCCGCGCGCCGGGCCGGCGGTCGGTCGGGCTTTGGGGGAGTCTGGAGTCGGGAGTGAGGAGTTGAGGAAGGAGCGCTCGAGTTTCCGAGGGACATTGGAACGCGGAGCTGTCCGTCACGCGCTCATCTGCATATTCGGGGGCCCGCCCCGGCCCGGCTCCGCCCACTGCGGGCGCCCGGCCTCCCCCGGGGGCGGGGCGCGGGGCGGAGGGCGGGGCGCGGGCGGAGGGCGGGGCGTGGGGCGGGGCGCGGGCGGAGGGCGGGGCGCGCAGGCTTTGTGGCACGCACGGCCCGCGTCCCAGCCCCAGCTCCAGCCTCGGCCTGCGGCCGGCGGCCCCGCCGCGGGGCCGGGCGGAGCGGGGCGCCTCCGCGGACCCCTCCCACGGTTGTCCTTCCCGCCGCCGCCTCCCTGCGCCCTAGCCCTCCGCCCCCACCGCCCCGCGCCCTCTTCACCCGCTCCCGATCGCCCGCACCGGCCGCGTGGAGCAGCCGCCCGCGGGCGGGCCCTCCTGGCGCGGCTCTGTGCGCCTCTCACCACGCGCGGAGGCTGGGCCGAGGTGGCCGGCCGGCCGGCGCCCGGACCGGGCTCTCTCCCGCGAGGCCTCCCTCTCTCCCCTTGCTCCCTCCCGCAGTCGCCGGGCCTCGGGGCCCGGGCTCCCCGCGGGTCCGCCGGAGTGCCCAGCGCCCGGTGTCCTGGTGCCCGGCCGGGAGCTCCGGGCCCGGCCCGCGCTGGGACTTCAGCGGCCCGCCCAAGTGTGGGTCCAGTCGCCCGGGCCAGCCACGCCCCGCGTTCCGGTTTAAATTGCATCTCCTTTCGGATCCACGCGGAGAGCCGCCTTCGACTGGACGGCCGCCACCCCGCGGCGGAGCAGAGGCCCCGGCGACGAGCAGGTGCGGGGCGCGTGTCAGGTAGTGGGGCGGGGCGGCCCACGGCGGAACGGCTGGCGGGGGGTCCTGGGACCCCAGCCGCGGCCTCGCCCCTGCCCGGTTGAGGTCCTGTTCACGAGGTCATGGGGCTAACTAAGGGGGGGAACCCGAGGGGCCCCGGGAGGGGACGGGCGGCCTCCCAACAGGTGTGTCCCTGGCACTACCGCCCGGCCCCCGGTGGGCTCAGGCCGAGGCCTCCGCGCGGGGCCGCCCTGCGGGGCGCGGAGACTGGCTTGCCGCGCGCAGCCCGTGTGCTGCCCCCGGGCTCGGGGAGCCAGGTGCGTTCGGCCGCGTAGGGAGGGAGTCTCCGGCTCCCCTTGAGTGTGTCGGGGCTCACCGCCCCACACCGCCGCGCCGCTGCTCTTCCTGCTGGGTGCGTGCGTGGTCTCATGATCTCAGTGCACACCCAGACACGCGTGCGCGCGCGCGCACACACACACACACACACACACGGCCCCCTTTCCACACCCAAGCGCAGGCCCGAATCAGCAGCCCGCGCCTACAACACCAAGGCCCTGGCAGAGGGTTCTAATCCAGTTCAGAAAGATACCAGGAGAGACCCGTGTCAGCGGTTACCCACGGCAGGAGGGAGGGAGAGGGTGTGTACCCTGGTGCAGCAGCCATGAATGAATGAGTGAGTGAATAAATAAATCTGGCATCTGTGGGCTTCCTGGGAGAAATCTCCTGCTGTGAAGCCCTAAGTGCCACACCCGCAAACAGCGAGGGTCCTGTCGCACCTGGTCTGGCGGGTTTTTAATCAAACCGATTCCAGCTTTAAAATGGCTCCTAATGTGTACCACCAGGATGGCTATCGTGGGCGGTGGCCATTTCTGCAGATTGGTTTCCCGTGGTGGTTTTTCTTGCCCCCCATTTGTTGACACCCCAACTAACGGAATCACTGCACAGACTCCCCACTTTGGAGCAGGAGCGCGTGCCTGGACGCCGTCGGCGTGACGGTAATTAACTGTGTAAGCAGCCGCGCACACGTGACCGCGCAGAGTCTAATCTCGCCGCCCGCCTCGCCCCCGGGCTGCGGGACGCCAGTCTGGGCGAAGGCCTCTTCCCGCCCGGCGTGTGTTTTCCCTGGCGGTTATCCTTCGCCAAGGAGATCCGCATGCGCCACATTGCTGCCTGTTACCCGGAAGCCCCATCTCTCTGGCTGTGACGCCGGCCCCGGGACCGCGCGCCGTTTTTATCGGTGGTGACGGTGACGATGGAGAGACCTGCGCCGGGCCCCTCGCTGTTCCTCGGGCCGGTCCGCACGAAAGCCCCGGGTTTTGTAAAATCACTTTTCCACTTCGCAGAGGAGGGCTGATCTGTAAATTCACGGACACCACCGCAACCCGGGACGGGCGCCCGGTGGTGAGGTTGGCGCGCGCACCGCCCGGGGTCCCCGCGAGAGCCCCGTCCGGCCCGCAAGCCCCCGCCGGGGCGCTGGGCCTGGACGCGGGGCTAAGGGCGCGGAGACCCGGCGCAGGCTCTCCGGGTGCCCGGGGCGAGGGAGGTCGCGGAGCGCGGGCCGCGTCTCCAGCCGCCCCGGCGGGACGGAGAAGTGCTCGGGCCAGGGCCGGAAAGTCGGCGCCTGCGAAGCCAAGTGAGGGGTGTGCGCCTCGCGTCCCCTGCACGTCCGATTTAAAGTTAACACGATCTTGTTTTTGTTTCCATCTTGTGTTCGTTTCCTCCAACTAGCGGCGGAACCTTGGGACCAGGTCCGCGCTGGCGCGCGCGAGCAGCGAAGCCCCGCGGGGAGCGCGCGGCGCCCGGGATGGGTCCGGCGCCTTCTGGGGAGCGCGGATTGCTGCGAAGGCCCGGGGGCGTCCGGGACGGGGCGTGTGCGGGTCTCTCCCCGGTCGCCGGAGGCCGAGGACGGACGCGGGCCGGGAATCACTCGGCGGGCGGCGAGGGGGCGCTGTGGCCCGCGACTGCGGACTGCGCCCGCCGCAGGGTGTCCGCGCCGCCGCGCGCGCCCCGCGCCCGGGCCGCCCCCGCCCCTCCACGCGCCCGCTTCACCCGGGGAAGAAGGAAAGCCACCCCGAGACGACGCCAACGAACCCCCATTCTGTTCTCACCTGGGCTGCGCGGGAAGGGTTTCGTTTTCAGAGTTGGATGGTAAAACTGCGGTTTGGAGAGGCGTGAGTTTGGGGTGCAGGGTCTTTTTCGTAATTAGGGTAAATTTTTAATTTTTCGTCGTCTTTAACTAGTTGTGCAACGCGGTTTATGAACGCAGTGCACCCCTCACCGTGAATTTTTGCCGCACCCCCCTTCTCTTCCTTCTTCCCTCCTCGTGGTGCTTATTTTTGTGGGCCTTCGCGTTGTCTCCAAAAGAATTACATTATTTCAGTTCTAAATATCTTCCTTTGACACAGGTTCCTCGAGGCGGCAGAGTTGAAAATGGGGGTGTATCACTGTCCCGTTTATTCAAAAACAAGGATCTCCTGGAGCCGGGAGCCAGGAGTGTGTGTGCTTCTCCTTTTTGAGAACCGAGCCGCGTCCTTTTACCTCATCCAGAGCCTAGGCTCTGATGCAAAGCCAGCCAAGCCGGGGTCCAGTGCAGGCCCTGGCTTCGCGGCGGCCCCTAGACACCGCCTGTCCCAGGACCGCTGCTCTCTTCCCTGCTTCCCTTAACCCCGCAAGAATTCCCCTTCACCGCAGGTGCCCCGCCTCTGAGGGCACCCCCACGCCGGACCGCGCCCCTCCTCCACGCACCCCTCCTCCACGCGCGCCCCTTCTCCACACACGCCCCTCTCCCACGCACCCCCTTCCTCGGCTGCCCAGCTTGGGTCGCTGGGTGCTCAGCACCCTGGGCGTGCCTCCACGCGGGGCAGGGCACCCCGAGGCCTGCAGCCAGGCAGAAAAGGTGCGGTGGGCTGAGGAGGATGCGCGGCCCTGTTGTGGAGAGGGGTGGACAGTCCTCGGCCATACCCTTCCAGGGGCGCAGAGCAGCCCTGCCAGGCAGCTCGGCCACCTAGAGCTGGTGGGGGCTCCGGGTCTGTCCTCTTCCTCTGCAAGGCAGGGCACTGGCGAAGCCCTCCTCTGTATGGGCCCCCCCCTTCCTTTGGAAGGGCAAGGGGGGCAGCCCCTGGCCTGGGGAAGGAGAGGGGAGGGGCCAGGTGGAGGGGGGTGGAGTCTCCTCAATTCCATGGCTTGCACAAGCAGGCAGAGGGAAGATTCTTTCTATTAAAGCAGGGACTTAGAAGTAGGGCGGGACAGGATGGGGCACCGGTGGGGTGACATGGAGCCATCCAGAGGCAGAATCATGAATTCCCTGGGGGAGGAGGGGAGGCCGGCCCCAGTGGGGTGCTCCACCGCAGCTCTGAGGTGTGTGTGATCCATGAGGGACAGGCCTCCAGGCAGGAGACCCACACCAAGGCCTGGGTGAAGAGCCTCCCTGGCCCTGGGCTCTGCCAGTTCCTATCGCTTGGGAGAATTGGGGAGTCATCGGCCATACCCCAAGAGGCCAGGTGTGGTCTGCCTGGAGCTCCGGTTCCTGGGCAGCTCATCCCGGGCGCTGGGAGGAAGGCAACACAGTCCAGGACCAGGTGTTAGTGTAGAAGTCTCAGGGAGACGCCAGTGGCAGTGTCCCTGGTGCAGCAGAAGACACCACATCAACAAGACAGGGCTGAAAGTGGAGAGACAAGGAAGGGAGACACAGAGGATCTGGAGAGACAAGGGAGGGAGGGAGATACAGGTCTGTGCTGGCAGTGGGGTTTAAGAACAAGCAGCAGTAAGCTTTGTGTTTTCAGGCTCAGGGTGGGGGCCTGGGAGGGAAACTCCATCCCGTCACAGGGACTGCCTTCTGTTTCTGATTTTTATAGAAGGGTAGCAGAATAGAGCTCCCATCTTTAGTGATGTTGTATTTCTGAGAGTAACGGTTGCAGGACGCCAAGTTATGA